AGGCAGGGCCAAGCTTCTGCTGGAACACAGAGAGGACACGCTCAGACCAGCCACGAACATCCTTCTGGCCAGAGACCAACACACTCTCTCTTCCAGGACCGGCTGCCTGAGTTTCTTCCAGAATCAGAACCACCCACCCTTTCATCAGTTCAGCAGACGACACGGACGGGCTCACATCGGGGTCGTGCTGTAAGGCCGTCCCCTGGCGCACAGCGTGGTCCCATGACGTGGGCTGGGGTGTCCCTGACCAGGTGGCACCTGAGAGACTCGGTCACACTCAGGCACCGGCGGCGGGTCCCAATGCTGCAGGCGGCGCCAGCCTAGGTGCTTCCGTGGCGCGACCGCACGGGGCCTGCTCACCTCTCTGCCCTCACGGAGCTGACAGCTGTCACCGCCCGGCCACCCGGGGATGAAAGCACCTGAGTGAGGAGGGACCCCGTCTCCAGGGCCAGCCTGTGGGACAGGGTATTTCAGCCACTGACCCCAGGCTCTTATTAGTCGTGTGAAATCTACCACCAAATGCAGGAAGACATGTTCATACTGGACGGAGCAGAGAATTGGGCACAGGCAGGAACATCGTAGGTCTTTCTCCCTTAAGCCGGGACGCGTCACAACGAGGGGTCAAATCACGTGATCACGGGCAAGTTAGCTGGCCTCTCTGGGCCTCAGTGTACTCAGCTGTAAACTGGGGCAATGAAACCCCTACTTTACTGGGTCTGTGTTAGGATTAAATGAGCTGTTATCTGCAAAATGCTGAGGGACAGAGACTGGTTCCTAGTGAGCATGCCGTGTTTCCGTGGAACACGGTACAGATTCCTAGAGCAGCCGCGGCCGGAAGACCAGCCCCATCTCTCCCTACCCTGCAGCACACAAGACACCTCAGGGCCAGGAAAACTACTTCTGAAATGTCTTCTTTTCTCCCCTCAAGTCACTGTAACACTTGGAATTTTCTCTCAAGTACATAAAAATTCCCCCCATGTGATATGGAGGTAAACGCAAAACATAATTAAGAAAATCATCTGTGTACAGTTTAGAAAATCATTGATTTTGCATTTCTCGATAACAAGTTACATGCTTATTTCTGAAAATAGCTGTATCTTAAGTATGTTTTAACAATCAAGGGAAAAAGTGTTAGAACCTCAAAAAATGTTGGTCAACACAATTTCCCCATCAGCTGCTTAGTGTACAAGAGAGAAGAGTTTTTCTTTTTCTCTCTGAAGTTTTTTTTTTTTTTTAAATGTTTTATTTATTTTTAGGAGAGAGAGAGAGAGACAGCGTGAGCAGGGGAGAGTCAGAGAGAGAGGGAGTCACAGACTGAAACAGGCTCCAGGATCCGAGCTGGCAGTCAGCACAGAGCCCGATGCGGGGCTCGAACCCACGAACCGCGGGATCATGACCTAAGCGAAAGTCGGACGCTTAACCGACTAAGCCACCCTGGCGCCCCTTTTCTCTCTGAAGTTATAAAACACGGAGGCTGTGGGTGCCCAGGACGCCAGCTGGTGCTGGAGTGAGGGCCACTCTGTGAAGGGAGGAGCCCACCCGCCCACCTCCCTGCATCTTGGAAAAAGCCCCATTAAACCTCTCTCAAGAATAACTGGAGGCTGAAAGGAGGGATCGGAAAGATACCATCTCACTTAACGCAGAGCGGAAATGTGCCGCTGCTCTCACCGCTTGTGGTTACTGCTCTGAGCTCCACGGACACGACTTCCCTGCAGGGGAGGTGGGAACGGCAGTGCACTTCCATCTAACGATGGGCGACCTGAGCGGCAGGGCGGCCCACTGCCTGCAGATTTCCTATTTCCTGCTAATTGCTCACAGGACCTCTGTAAGACATGAAGTGGGTGCCTGGAGTGTTTGCAGGACGTGTGGGCCATAAGGGGCCACATAAGGGGATATTTCCCTGCTTTTAATCTACCAGGGATACTAAGGAAGACTTACATGCCAACAAACTGGATGACCCTAATGAAATGAATAAGTTCCTAGAAACATATAATCCTTCTAGACTAAACAAGGAGGAAATAGCAAATCTGAACAGGCCAATTACTCATAATAAAATTGAACCTGTAATAAAAAAAACTCCCAACAAACAAAAGTCTAGAATCAGATGGCTTCACAAGTGTATTCTACCAAACATTTTAGAAAGAGTTAATACCTATCCTTCTCAAACTCTTCTATAACCTGAAGAGGAAGGAATACTTCCCACCTCATTCTGTAAGGCCAGCATTACCTTGATACCAAAATCAGACAAAGACACTGAAGGAAGAAAAAAAAGAAAGAAAGAAAGAAAATTTCAGGCCAATATCCCTGATGAACATACATGCAAAAATCTTCAACAAAGTGTCAGCAAACTGAATTCAACTATACAACAAAAGGATCATACACCACCGCCAAGTGGGACTCATTCCAGGGGTGCAAGGATGGTTCAATACCCGTGTGTCAGTGGGATACATCACATCAGCAAAATGGGGAAAAAAAGTCCTACGACATCTCTACAGATGCAGAAAAAGCATCTGACACAGTTTCATGTCCACTTATGATAAAAACTCTCAACACAATAGGTACAGAGGGAATGTACCTCAGTATAATAAAGACCAGAGAGGACAAAGCCGCAGCTAACATACTTAATGATGAAAGATTGAAAGAGTTTCCTCTAAGGTCAGGGACAAGTTGAGGATGCCTACTCTTGCCATTTTTATTCAACATATTATTGGAAGTCCTAGCTGCAGCACTAAGAAAAAGAAATAAAAGGCATCCAAATTACAAAGGAAGTAAAACTCTCACTATTCACAGATGACATGATACTATATATAGAAAACCCCAAATCATCCACCCCAAAACCATTAGATCCAATAAGTGAATTCATTAAAATTGCAGGATACAAAAATCAATATTGAGAAATCTGTTACATTTCTATATAATAACAAACAACCAGAAAGAGAAATTAAAATAATCCAATTTACAATTGCATCAAGAAAAATAAAATATCTAGGAGAAAATTTAGCCAAGGTGAAAGACCTGCGCTCAGAAAACTGATGAAAGAAACTGAAGATGATGCAAATACACAGAAAGATATTAAGTACCGCGGACTGGAAGAATAGTGTCAAAATATCCAAAGAAGTCTACAGATTCAACACAATCCCTATCAGAACACCAACGGCCTTTCCCACAGAAGTGGAACTAAAATAATCCTAAAATTTGTACGGAGCCACAGAAGACCATGAAGAGCTAAAGCAGCCTTGAGAAAGAAAAGCAACTCGGTGGGAGGTGGGGGTGGGGAGGTGGAGGGGGCCCTGTTCCTGATTTCAAAACATCCTAGAAGCTATAATACTTACAGCCATTTGGTACCAGCACAAAGACAGACACGTAGATCAACGGAAAAGAACACACAGCTGACCATAAAGCATGGCTAACTAATCTATGACAAAGGACACGAAAATATACAATGGGGAAAGGAAAGTCTCTTCAATAAATGTCAGGAAAATGGACAGCCACATGCAAAAGAGTGAAACAGAACCACTTTCTGACACCATATACAAAAATGAACTCCAAATGGATCAAAGACTTAAATATAAAACCTGAAGCCATACAACTCCTGGAATAAAATGCAGGCAGTAAGCTATCGGACACTGGTTTTAGTGACATTTTTGGATCTCTCTCCCCAGGTAAGGACAATAAAAAAGCAACAACAAACAAAAAGGACTATATCAAACTAAAATGCTTTTACACAGCAAAGGAAATCATTAACAAAATGAAAAGGCAACCCAATGAAGAGATGATATTTGCAAATGGCATATATGATAAGGGGTTAACATCCAAAATATACAAAGAGCTCATAAAACTCAATATAAAAATACCCAACCAGGCAGAGGGCCTGAAGAGACATTTGCTAATGAAGACATATGGGCGGCCACGGGCACGTGGAAAGATGCTCACTGTCATGAACCATCACGGACGTGCAAATCAAAACCACAATGAGCTATTATCACATGGCTGTCAGGATGGCTTGGATCAAAAAGACAAGATATAGCAGGTGCTGGTGAGGAGGTGGGGGAAAGGCAGCCCCGTGCACTGCTGGCGGGAACGAAACTGGTGCGGCCGCTACGCAAAACAATGCGGAGATTCTTCACAAAATTGAAAAGAGAACGGCTCTACGATCCGGCAGTCTACTTTTGGGTTTTTATCAGAGGAAGATGAAAACACTAATTCAGAAAGACATACGCACCTCTATGTTCATTACAAGGTTATTTACAACCGTCAAGATATGGAAACTAAATGTTCTAAATGTCCACTGACGGGCGCCTGGATTAAAAAGGTGGCGTATATATACACAACGGAGTATTACTCGGTTGTAAAAAGAATGAAGTGTAGCCATTTGTGACGACATAGATGAACCTAGAGGGTATTATGCTACCTGAAATAAGTCAAAGAAAGGCAAATACGGTACGACTCCACCCACATGTGCAATCTAAAATACAAAACAAACAAAACAGAAACTGACTCAGATGCGCAGAGAACAAACTGACGGTTGCCAGAGGGAGGGGGTGGATGAAATGAAGGGGATTAATAGATACAAGCCTCCCAGTTATGAAGTAAGACACAGAGGTGTAACGCACAGCATGGGAATCCGGTCACTGATATTGTTACGACACTGCACTGTGACCAGTGGTCGCCAGACTTAGTGTGGTGCCTATTTCATAGCGTACGTGATACTGATTCACTGTGTTGTACACCTGTGACAAATACAGGATTCTGTCAGTTCTCCTTCAACGACAGCAAATACTAAGGAAGAAGGATTCCAGGCCCTAAGCTTTGCATCCTCTGCTGCGAAAAACAACTTAAGGAGAACAAAGAATAGCATGGTCATGAAGCAGCGGATCCCCCCGCCTTCCTGGAGGAGGTGGTGATGGCGGATGTTGGGTGGGCTGGGGGGAAAGTGATGTGGCGTGCTCCCTCAAAGGGGAGGTGAGGGTGTTGTCCGACGGGGTGGGGGGCATTGGTACCTTGGTGCAGACGGCCTTCACTCGGTGCAGCCGGTCCAGGGATTCCTGCGGGTTCCCCAGGTACTGCTGGAGCTCGGCATGCAGGATCCGCATGGAAAAGGGCACCATGGAGCCTAGGGTCAGAGCAAAGCCGGGTGAGTGAGTCTGCCGTGTCTGAGCGCGCTCCCCCGCTGCACACACCTGAGGGAGGAGCTGTGATGTGCCAGCGGGAGGGATGACAGAATGCCTGCCTTTCTTGGTGAAGTATGCAGTGGTGTCAATTATAAAACGTGCACTGGTTTTCTCGGCAAAGTGGAATATGTGCGTGTCCTAGACAAGGTTCAAAGGCGAAAGGTACGTGTCACTGCTGTTTCCATAGCTGTGCTTTACCTGTGTAGAGACGAGAGACAGCTGCCCCTGCAGTGAAAGAGACCACAGGACCGTCGTGGTCTTTTGTATCTGTGTGGAGACGCGGGCTCAGACAGAAGGCTGCCCAGGCTGGGTTCCCTCCAAGCAGACCCTGACAGGAGGCTCTGCAAGTACGCGAGGGTGAGGGGGGCCAGGGGAGGACAGTTGTCGGAGACGTGGGACCAGGGGAGGACAGTGAGCGATGTGTCTCAGGCCCAGGTCCTGGTGACAGAGCTCAGCCTGATTTGGTGGTGTGGGTGTGTGTGCGTGTGCATGTGCGTATGTGCGGCCCTCTATACCTCACAGTGCCCCAGTGGGAGGCAAGGGAGCTGGACGTGAAAACTCTACCACCCGGGGCCACCCCGAAGGGAGTCACTGGGGGGCGCCCAGCCCCCTCAGTATGCCCTGGGGGAGCGAGGGCAGCACTCTGAAGGGCTCACATGGGGGAATCGAATGTGACTGCGACAACTCTCAGAAGGGACTCTTTTTGTTAATGTCATTCTGATATGGTTTGGAATGTGACACTTGGGATGTATACAGAGCACATATAAACCATCAAAATGATCAAACAGCCTGTGCTGACTATCAATGAGACAGTGGATATGAAAGCAACAACACAGGGTGGTCATATAGTCAGAAGAGGGCTTTTCAGCAGAGACTGAAGGCGTCACTATTTAGATACTGAATACGGTTTGGAAGATGGTTAGAAAACAAGCTGTGTGACACCTGTAAGCGACATAGCCTCTCTGTGTCCCAGTCTGTCCATCTGCCTAAGCATTAATCATCAGGGAGAGTCGGCCATGGGCCACACTAAGATGGCTTTTCGTCTGTGCTTGGAAATGTATGATGCTCTAGGGTCTTACATAGAGGCTGAAAGAAAGATCAAAAGAGGGATGTCGAAAATAGGGAACTCTACAAAAGGGTTCTATTGTAATTATAAGTCCAGACAAAAGAAAGATGACAATTATTGAATTTTAAGTGTTTGAATTTTTTTTGAAAAAAAAATTTTTTTTCTTGACACTGAATAATTCCAATGTCTAAAAAGGATGAATGACTGAGTTTACATTCTGGAATGAGCTGTTCTTTGCTGCCTAGAAAGAAAAGCATCTTGACCATCAGCATCACTAAACATGGGGCTGTGCTAACACGGGATACACCTGTTGTATCATTTCTGCCCTTCATATCAAGTAGAGAACAGGCAATAATCGTTCCCATATGGGTCAGAATTCACCTGCAGAGAGAGAATATCTCTAGAACTCTTTAAACTCTGGAAGCTCAACATGGAAACACATGTTCTACTGCAAGTTCCCAAACCCAGTTTATAAATGAATTGAATATATGACTAGGTGGCAGGGAGTTCCATACACTAGCAAATGCCATGTACCTGAGGAAGTTTCTGCATTGATAAGGACACGCAAACACATTTGGGACTTAAATGAAAATGAAAAATCAACTTATCAAAATTTGAGACACAGCAAAAGCAGTGCTAAGAGAGAATTTTACAGCATTAGGTGCATATATTTGAAAAGAAGATCTTAAAATCAATCATTTAAGCTTCCATTTTAGAATCCTAGAGAAAGGCAGGGAATATAGAAGAAAAAGAAAAGAAATAAAAATTAAAGCAGAAATCAATGACACTAAAATAGGAAATGAATAGAGAAGAATCAACAAAACTCAGAGTTGTTTTTTTGACAAAATCAGTAAAATTTATAAACCTCTAGCCAGGTTAACAAAGAAATGAAAGAGAAAACAGGAATACTAATATTAGAAACAAAAGGGGATACGTCACTACTCACCACATGGACACTAAAAGGATTATAAAGGAGTAATATATTATGAATAACTCTACAGTTCACAAATTTTGTAATCTAGATGAAATGGACTGATTCCTTGAAAGACATCATTGATTAACAAGCACATAACGGAGTAATGCTGGGTATCTTTTCAAGTGTCTGTTAGCCCTCTGGATGTTACTTTGGAAAAGTGCCTATTCATGTCTTTTGCCCATTTCTTCACTGGATTATTTGTTTTTTGAGTGTTGAGTTTGGCAAGTTCTCACCACATACTTAATGATGAGAAACTAGATGTTTTCTCCGTAAGATCATGAATAAGGCAAGGATCCTCCTACTGCACATCATACTAGAAGCCCCTAATTAATGTAAAAAGACAAAAAAAAAAAAAAAAGAAAAGGTGTATAGACTAGAAAAGGAAGAAATAAAACTATCTTTGCAGATGATAAAGCCGTCTATGCAAAAAATCCCAAAGAACTGACAAGAGAACAAAACAAAAAACCCTCCCAAACAGAGAAGCAAGTAAAGTAGACAAGATACTAGGATAATACATAGAAGTCAATTGGTCTGACTCACCATACCAGCAATGAACTGAAATTCAAAATTAAAAACACAATACCATTTACATTAGCACCAACATTAATGAAATAATAAGAGATAAATCTGACAAAATATCTATAAGATTTATGTGAAGAAAACTCTAAGTCTCTGGTGAAAGAAATCAAAAAAGATGTGAATAAGCGGAATGATGCTCCACGTTAACAGATAGGAAGATGTAACATTGCCAAGGTGTCAGTTCCTCACAGCTCCACCAGCAAATTCAACGCACTGACAATCAAACCCCTCCAGTTATTTTGTGGCCATAAACATACTGATTAATTATGTGGAGAGGCAGAAGACCATAAATGTCCAACACAATATTGAAGAGATGAGCAATGTTGGAGAACAGATAGCCCAAACTTTAAGACTTACTATTAAGCTGCTGCGACACCAGCAATAGAACAGGCCCAACCCCCAGTGGACTGGACGGAGAGCCAGAAACAGGTCTCCTAAATCTGGCCAACTGATCTTCAACAACGGAGGACAGGGGAGTCCCTGGAGGAAGGACAGTTCCTCCAAAAAATGGTGCTGGGATAACCAGACATCTACATGGGGAAAAAGTCAATCTAAACACAGACCTTCCTTCCTTCATGAAACTCAACTCAAAATAGGTAACAGAACCTAAATGTAAAATGCAAAACTGTGAAACTTCTAGAACAGAAGAGAAATCTAAATGACCAGGGTTCAGTGATAACTTTTCAGATACAAAACCAACAACGTGATCCATGAAAGAAAAAAAAAACTGGACTGATTAAAATTAAAATCTGCCCCGTGTAAGACCACGTCAAGAGAATGAGAAGACAAGCCACGGACGGGGAGAAAATCCTGGCCACACGCGCATCTACTAAAGAAGGGGCTTGTACCCCAAATATACAAATAACTCCTAAAAACCAACAAGAAAACAACTCAATTAATCAACAGATCTGAACAGATGCCTCAATAAAGGTATACAGATGACAAGTAAGCGTGAAGAATGCTCCCTGTCATCCGTCATTCGGGACCTGCGGACTGCAAGTGGAACATGCGAAATACCAGCAGACACCCATTAGAATGGCGAGAACTCAGCAAGCGGATACCGCCACGTGCGGCAAAGACGCGGGGCAGGAGGAAATGCGTTCGTCACGGGAACGTGCAAAACGGTGCTCTGCTCTGGGGGACAGCCTGTCAGTCCCTTATGGATCCAAGCCCAGGTGTCCTGTATAGACCGGCAATGGTGCTCCAGGTCACACCCACATAACTTCACAATTTATGTCTGTCACAAAAGCCTGCACAAGAATGCTAACAGCAACCTCACCCGTAACCGCCCCCAGCCAGAAGCACCGAGGTGCCTTGACAGGGGAATGAATAAATAAATTGCAGTACGTGCAGACAACTCCATATTATTCAGTAATGAAAGACATGTGCTATCAAACCACGGAAGCCCTGAGGAGTGTTACATGCCCAGCGGTGGGTAAAAGACACCTGTGTGAAGAGGCTGCGTGTTACAGGATCTCAGCAATGATCTGGAAGAGGCAAGACTGTGAGGACAGTAAATAAGTGAGTGGTTTCCGGGGGTTGGGGGGTGGGGGGACAGAGGGTGTTAAGGGCAGTGAAACTATCCCGTGGGTACCACAGTGGTGGATACGCACCATTACCCATCTGTCCAGATCCGCAGAAGACACACCGGGAGTGCATTCTACACGATGGGTTTTAATCATAACGTCCCCATCAGTATAGGCTCACGTATTGTGACCAATGGAGCACATCGATGCGGGATGCTTACAGATGTCAATTACAACACTAATAATACAAGGTATTTATACAATTGTAGGCAAAGGACAGGGCATATGGAACTCTCTGTAATGTTTAACTTTACTGTGAACCTGAGAGAATCCAAAAAACTAAAGATTACTTATTGAAAAAAGAGAAGATACACCCAACCACACACAGAATGTACTGTACAAGACAGTCTCCCCAATCACTGGAAGAAAATGTAATTTTCAATAAGCACTGTTGGGCTATATGAATGGCCACATGAATAAAGATAAAATTAGATCCATTCCTTAAGGGAAAAAGATTTGGGGATCTCAAATTAGAAATAAAAAAAATAGGGGCACCTGGGTGGCTCAGTTGTTTAAGCTTCTGACTCTTGATTTCAGCTCGGGTCATGATCTCCTGGTTTGTAAGATTGAGCCCTGCGTCGGGCTGTGTGCTGACAGCATGGCGTCTGTTTGGGATTCTCTCTCTTTCCCTTTCTCTCTGCCCCTCCCCTTCTCTTTTGCGTGTGCTCTCTCTCCCCGAATAAATAAACATTAAAAAATACTTTTTCCCTAGGAACACTAAATATGGCAGCTAGT